GCGTTCCCTAGCTTGCGGAAGGTTGTCACAACAACAGCAACAAATCGTTTATTTCCAGAGACGTGTGCTCGACGGTGCAAGATACGCGTTTCTTAACACTTTTATCTGTTTAACTAACGCTAGTTTGCAGGTATTGACGTTACAAGAGTGATTTAGGATCGCAGAACGTTTTAAATCATTCTCCGTCCCTATCGATACTTTGACTTATGTTTTCGAAACTTGCGTTTCTCCTAACTCAGTCCAAGTGGGGGCTTCTGTAGACACCCAATTGTGTCTCCCCAAAACCAAACCCAGTGATGAGTACCTTTCACGTCAAATCATAATCGAATGAGGTGAAAGTGTGGAAAGTCTAGTGTTGCGGTTAGTATTTATTTCTTTTCTTTCTTTTTGTTTTTGAAAACCTATTTTAAGAAAACAGCCAATACAGTTTGGTTTGGTCCATGGAAAGGGTTTAATAATAGTGTAGTTGGGTTGGGTTCAAAAAGAGCTTTCCAACGATATATTATAAGCCCAATTCCTATGAATAATGAGGAAGTTATGGCCAAATTACTAAAATGGGCCCGGTTTAATATTTATATGCAGCCCAATGATCTAGAGGAGGGCCTAATATTGATTTATCATTCCTAATGCAATTAGAATTGATTATAGTCTTCTAGATTTTTCTAGAAAGTTCTTTTTATTCCTAATTTAATTAGCATTGATAAATTGACTTTAGTTGACTTTTTAGAGATTTAATCAAAATAAAAGAAGTGTTTTTGAGGACAATACGATTTCGCCCTCCTCTACGGATAAATTTTATCAAATTAAGAAAACGCGTGGAAATTGTTTTCTAGCGTCTGATGACAGGACCAGCGCTTGGTGCCAGGCTTGGTGTCTGGCGCTAGACCTGGCGTCTGGTGCTAGAGTCTAGCGTTTGGCGCCAATTTGTTTTATTATTTTCGAAACTCTGATTCGTTTTTTATCCATCCGACTGATTTTCTATATAAATAGCCTCCTAAAACCTTCGTTTTCAATCATCAAATCTCATCAATTCTTATTTTCTCTCTCACTAACTCTCTTCAAGATTCTCTTGATTTCTCTCTCTCTCTCTTTTCTAAACTAGCCTTTTGCATATAAAATTTCGCATTCACAAAATCTAGAAACACCTAGCCAAGTTCGAAGTTGTCTTCGCCCAGGACGTGAAAGGTTTTAAAATCTGAGGGTTTGGTCCCAAATCTCTATTTCAATTATTTAATTTAATTGTTTGGTTTCATTATTTTCATTGAAGTTACTAACGTGTGTATTTTGTTATTAGTAAGAGGTATGAGGCATCCAAGTAAGTGCTTTTATTGATTTGTTGATATTATGATATAGAAATCATGACTAGATTGTTATTATGATTCCTAGTGTCATGTTAGGGCGTTTTGATCTTCCTAGTATCATGTTTAGGGTAAAGAATAAGTTCCTTAGATCAATTGTGATTTCTATGATGCCTTTTATTGTCTTTTCTATTATTCATGTTAGTATCATGTTAGGGCTATATATTTGATCTTTATTGTTTAGTGACATGTTAGGGTTTGTTATTAATCTTATTAGTATCATGTCTAGGATCTTGCTATTAATATTATGCTTTAACATGATTGTTATTATGTTTTATGATTTATAATTAATTATGATTATGTTGCTTGATTATATTATTGTTATTGCTTGATCACGCCTTTTATGAATGTTTAAAGGGAATTGGTACTTGTAATCACGCTTAATAAGATAATTAATAATCTTGTTTAGGGTAATATAATTATAATTCAAGTGATCGCCAATAATAAATTTGTTTGTGCATTAATATTCAACAAACATAGATAAGCAAGTTTAGGGTTAAACCTATTGATTGCTTGTTGGTCTGAAATCGCACATAAATACAATCAGAATAAAGTAGAGGCCTATTATTAGGGCAGGTTCAATCTCTTTTAGGTTGGATTTGTATCTTTATCCCTGAACTACCAGTCATGGTCCCAAACCTATTGGAGTTTACGATAACCTGGATCGTTAAGGGGTGTAACCTTCACCCTATGAACGGTTTACAAGTTCCTAAAACTTGTTGGCGACTCTTTTGCTCTAATTTCCTTCCCTTTGGACCCCACCATGCTTTAGTGTATAATCACAGTGGGGTTCAAGTTACATATACATATATATATATATATATATATATATATATATATATATATATATATATATATATATATATATATATATATATATATATATATATTATCTGATGTTGTATAAATAAATAACTTTTTTTAATTTAAGGATGATGTTGCGGTTCATGAGATTATCCCACGACAATCACATGATAATATGTTGGTTGTTAGCAAGATAAATGTTTTAAAAATCAAGTTACCTTTGGAAAAACAAGCTTCTGAAGTGCTCACTACATTTTCTTATGAGATGTTTAAGGAGCAATGTGGCAAGTCAAGCCAATATTTTATCATTTTCAGTAGTGGGTATGATTTCTCGGTTAGATATTATGCAAACGAAAAAAGTCAGTGTCATAAAGTGTTTTGGGATGGGAACATTGCAATGTGCTCCTGCAAGCAGTACGAGTTCCTAATTTGTAGGCACATATTGCGAATATTTCTTCAAAAAGACTGTCATAAGTTCCATCTACTTACTTTCCTAACCGTTGGCGCCTTGATGGAAGTACCACTTCAATTGATCAAGTTCCAGATGAGCAAATTATACAATCAAATGAGTTGGTTATTGATGATGATGATATTTCATGTCCTCTAAAGTCGAAGCCCAAAGGACGACTAAAAAATAAACGGCAAGTGGGTGGAAAAGAGTTGGCAAAACAAACAAGACATTGTTATAAGTATAGGAAACCGGGACATTATGGGAAACAATTGTTGGATGGATAAGGAGAATGCAAATATTACAGATGATGCACCCAGAAAAAAGAACAAAGTTGTTGCGTGTAGAGAAGATTTGAATCCTATTTTTTTAGTCAAATATTAGATGAGAACTATATTAAGGTATTGCTGTTGATTTTCTTTTTATGCACTAAGATACCTAAATATTGATATTTTTACTTTTTAAGGTACTAGTCGTTGGAGCACACGCGTTGCGCGTGCCCCCCGACGACAAGATAAGTAAAATTCGTGGTGGTATTCGGGTTTTGTAATAATAAGGATACATGAATTTTCTATGGGGAAATATCTACGAAAAAACAATTATTATAAGTGAAATTATCTAGAATTTGTTATAATTCAAAGATTTTTAAAAAATTATACTATTGTTTTAGATATTATTTTCGAATAGCTTTATTTTTAAATGATTGTGATAAACAGTATTAATAAAAAAATGCAATACTAATGGTATATTAGTTTGTTAGACTTTTTAAAGTAGAAAATTTTCGAGTGGTTTTTAAAAATTAAATTAGTTAGATTTTGTAATCGATGCGGAAGGTATAAAATGAATGAGAAATATCATTTGTGTATGCATTAAAGTTTATTTGCTGGTCATTTATCTATAAATTATTTTATGTATGATTTTTTTTTATATAAAAAATACAGTTGGAGGGAATAGCTTTACACTTTTATATTTAAGATTATATTCGTTAGAGCACACACTACGCGCTTGACCCACCCACCCCCCCACCCCACGGTATGATATGTAAGATTTGTGGAATGTTGATCGTATTTCGTAGTTTGGGGTGTTATATATTAACATGATAATTAGGGGATCTTATTTGTGTGGTAGTCACTAACTTGATTTTAAGTTCTTCCTATCTCTTCTTCCTTCATATGTACCCTGTCTGTTATATTTCTTCCTCGTCATATCTCAATTCCCTTTTCTATTTATTCTTGCTTTCTTTCACCATCTGCTCCTTTTTTTTTCCTCCAACCTATTTTATCTTCTTGTATGGTTTGAACGGTTAAGTAAGCCTCCATCTCTCTCTTATTCTATCCTGACTCTTCCCTCTTTCCCGACTCATCTATCTCTTTATCACTCTATCTCTCTCTCCTTGCCCCTCTTTCTCTTAATTGCTCTATTTCTTTCTCTTCCGGCCCTTATCTCTCTTTTTCTCCCATCCTCTCTCTCTCTCTCTCTTTCTCTATGCCGACCCTTCTATATCTCTTTCTCACACCTTTCTCTCATTCGACTCCCTCCCCCCCCCCCCCTTCTTTCTCTTTCTCCCACTCCTTCACTTTTTCCTATCTCTCTCACTCCTCCTCCTACTCTCCCCCTTTTTTCTTTTCTATCTTCTCCTCCTCCCACTCCCTCTTTCTCTTCATCTCTTCTCCTCCCTCCATCCTTCTTTCATTTTATCTCTTAAAAGCTATCTATTAATATGATTATATAAACATTTAAAAACAATTTACTTGAGAATCCAACATAATTCTACTATAAGGTTAAATGTTTTATTCTAAAAGTGTCACAAATTACTTAACATTTCCATAATCATCACAAAACCGCATTTGTTAATGAATATCATTTAGTGAAAGATTTGAAGTTTGTCCAACTCTAATTGTCGATTTCTATTCCCTCTTTCTTGGTCACCCTGTTTCTCTATCCCTACAACTTTCATTTTCTTTTATTTATGTTTATAATTTTGAGTAGTTTTGAAAGTTTCTTAAACTTATTTTCATCTCCTAAATTTCACCTAAAAAGTCTCTCTCTAAAATATCAAAAGTACAGGTGTCGATGTAAATATGTATCATGATATCATATGCATACAATCTCCAAAGTGAAACGCATTAAGAAATTGATTGGACTACTTCCTACATCCAAAGCATATAAAGTAGTTTGACAAATAAAAACATGGAGTTAAAGCGCAAATTTGCATAATGCTCTACCTATTGAGGAAAGAGGCTAGTGTTATTTAGGGCAATATAAGTAAAAGTGATGCGTTTAAAAATTACCCATCTTACAATAATCCTCTTTAATAACCCAGAAAATAGGATGTTTTCACCTTTAAAAGCTTATTGTGCAGTTAGTGAGGAAAAAACAGAAGCTTAATGTACAACCAGCTAACAATTTGAAATGCAACAACTTCCACTCCAAATAATCCAGAACAAAACAAATTGATCATATTCTTAGATTATACATGTATCTTAAAGAACATATTAAATGCCCAGTTTGACAAGAATTAAATCAAGCTATATCAAACACATAATTAGAAGATAATTTACAAAGTATAGAATTTCGGGCCTACTAAGAAAATTCTCGATGTAAAAAATGGATCTAAAAATGTGTAAAATAACAAGCCAAAAAGCTACAAAGCTCAATATTATTACTCCGTACTATATATTTGTAAACACTTGTGAAGCTCACATTTTGTTTTGCCTGAACAAGAAGATAAAGAAAAGCGATCTGTTGCATTTGAAGTCATAATTGTCATCGCTATATGCTTCATGCAATGAGCTGCATACCTGCAGTTGCTACCTTAGAATTAACCTGAAAGAGTCAGAACTCCAATTAATCAAAACCAAATATTTCAGATGAAAATAAGGAATTCTTGATATCACACTTGTAGTGGCATCATATAACTTTAGACAGTTTTCTTGTTTTTGCAAGCATACCTTACTGCTTTATCTATTAACAGACATTTATTGATCCCTAATCAAAAGCATAAAGTTTGATAATAGTATAATACAGGTAGTATAATACAGGATTTCAAGTTCACAATTACTACAAAAGAAAATAAATGGATAGTTGAGCACTCTCGTATAATAAAGCAATACATGGCTGTCCATTTTGGATCAAGAGTGTTATAAAGGTGTAATCATTGAAGATAATTTAAAACAATTAGCTCAATTTTGAAATCATTAAATCTTTTAATAAACAATTATTGGAGTCGTCTTTTATTACATGACAATTTACCGAAGAGCAACAATTTCAAGATGCTAGTCAGAGCTAATTTTCTAACAACCTTCATTAAGAAAATAATCAATTAGACATTTAGCAATCTTAATCAAATAAATAAATAGATAAATAAAGCCCTAACTTTAGAATGCAGAGAAATCAAATCCCTATATTTTTTACCAAATTGCATCGAAACTACCCCAAAATAATGAATTAATTGATTTAAACTGGAAAACTACAATTTTAAAACGATTGAATTGATTCGAGAAAACCCCTCAATTTTAAACGAACTCAATTAAATCAAAAGCCCCCAATTTCTTATCAAATTGAATTGAGAAATTCTTAATTTTAAAATGAACTAAATAAAGGAAACCATGGAAATGAAGAGATACCTTAGTAGCAAGTTTCTAAGTAAGAGCCATTGAATTAGTTATCCATAAATCAAAATCACACACACACACACACAAGTACTCAATTTAGAAAGGAAGCACAACAGCCCCAAACAAAACAAACAACCCTTGCAGTAGCAACAAGCACAGAACAATGATACTCAAGAAGAACACAAGAACAATCACACCACAACAACTAACTCACAAGCACCACACAGCAATCCCACACACTACCATAACACGAAGGGAAAAAAAGACCTTGGAAAAGTTCCTCACATTTGCACACAAAGACCCTAAGATTACCTTTTGAATTCTAACAAGGATGAAAAAAATACGAGTGTTTACAGTATGACTATTACAGAGACATCTAACAAGCAAAACTCTCTCCCAGATTTATCTATACAAAGTAAATACCTTAGCGGGTTTCAGTACAGAAGTAGGTTAGCTGTGTTCCATATTTTCCCTAAATTAAAACATGAAACCAAATCTGTTGAAAAAATAATTCAGAGGCAAACTTTATAAAGTTAAAGTTGATATATAAGAGAAAACCATTAAAAGTGGTTTAAGGAAAAGTGTGTTGTTTGTTCTACTTCCCACAGCCCTTCATACCTCTTAACTAAAGTAAGCAAACACTGCCCAATTGCAAGCTCGTTTTTTACAGCGATCCCCAACCCAACATGTGACCTAGAGATCAAATTAGCGTCGACATTCAACATGATAATACCTTCAGAGAGGATGGGGGGAGAGGGAAATCCAACTTGATGCAGAAGGGTAGTCATGAGCTGCAGTTCTAACGAATATTTTGTGTGTATAACGGCCATACATTTTACAAATCCCATAGTTGTATACACTATGTTCAATATTATGTTTTCAAAGATGAAGTTGTTCCTGTAGAACCAAGTAGCACACATCATAGCAAGTATAGTTGCGAGTTAAGAAGGATTACCACATCAAGGATAGGACCTTTCCCTGAAGAAGCAGCATGGTTTGGAGCCACATCCTTCGTTTTATCCCCTGTCATAAGACAAATTGGGAAGATTCAAGGCATAGAGCATATAAGGCTTATGATCTCGTATTTTATTGAACACAAACCACTGCAAGTAAAACGAATTAAAACACTATATATATTGCAACTACATGTTAGAATGTTACGAACTTGATTTGTCTTTTTAAGAGCATGCTACATTTAACATAACTAACTTCAATCACCTCTGCCATGCACTGATTTAAAGTTGCAGACTTTACCTGAAACTGATTCACTTGCATCTTGACCATCTAGCAGCAAAATCGATAGTCCCCAAGTAATGAAAACCTCTAGCAGACTTCATTAAGAAAATAATCAATTAGATACTGAAAGATCTTAATCAAATAGATAAATAAATAAATAAATAAATAAATAAATAAGACTCTAACTTTAAAATGCAAGGGCATATAATCCCAATTTTTTACCAAATTGAATCAAAACACCCCATAATCTCGAAATTATTTTTCACCCTCCATTTCTGCATATATAGAAATTAAAGCACCGCTCATAATCAAGGTACAAGAAATACAACGAAAAAAGGGAAATGAACACAACCTTAAAGGAAGAAACAATAAAGCACAACCAATCTTCATGAAACAACTACTCATACATCACTCATACAAAAGAACACAAAATAAATAAATTTCAAACCGATTTTAACAATAATGGTGCAAATATAACCTAATTCGGGCAGCTGATCTAGCGTGGCTGGTTTTGTCATTTTTAGAGTTTAAATGACTGTAATTGGTTTAGGCTGTAATTCAGATTTTTTTTTATCAAAATAGCAAGAAAAACATGTTTTGTTCCTCGAAGTTGCCATTTTCAAAAATGTAAAGAAAATTCTATCAATCTTTTACAAAACTTTGATGAAACTTAAAATTGGCCATAATTTAACAACAGACGATTAAATGTAGCCTTGTTCTTTTTATCATTCCCTAATTGTGGGTAACTTTTCCAACTTACAAAGTAAATAAGTAACAAATCTAAGTACCCATTCTACGTAAGAGCATCATATTCATCAAATGACATAAAAAAATTGACAACATTACTAAGAATATGAAATAATTAGTAAAGAGAAAACAAAAACAATTAAATGAAAGAACCCATGCATAAATTTGCACGAAAACAAACACCCATCCAAAAAAAAAAGAAGCAACAAATCAAACTCTAGAATATCAAAGTAAAATAGAGCAGAATTATACCTTTCCGGTGAGAAATTTTCCAGAAAAAGATAAAACCCAAAATAATATGATGAAGAACAAGTTTGTTCTGCAAGAAAATTGAGAAAATTCAAAGAAATTGTATTAAAAGAAGTAAAAATAAGAGGGAAATGAAGATAAAAAGTGTAGAATATAAATGAGAAATTCCAGTTTGTTAATTGCTATTATTAAAAGGTAATGAAGCTTTAGCTAAACTTGTTTCTCTTTTATATGCTTGAAATGGTTGGATTTTATTTATTTATTTATTTATTTTTAGGAAAGGTTAGGCATATATTATTACAAAACAAATTTCTCCAAAGAGATAATGCTTTGGGGAAACGGACTCATACAAACAAGTTCTGAAACATTACGAGTCTCCCACTGAGCTACAAGATGGGCTACCGAGTTGCCTACCCTTCTCACATGTGACGAAATAAAAACATTAAACATACTTGACATACCCTAATATCATCATAAATTATGCAAATTGGAGAATAGCCTGTGAAGTTGTTATCAATCTCTGAAATACCTTAGCAGAGTCTCAATCCAGATGTTCAAGATGCCCAACCTATGTGCAATTTGCATTCCAAAGCGCACCGCTTCAGCTTCTGCTGCCTCCACCTCTAATCCCGCAGGCACCCTTCGAACAACAGCCCACAGCAGCTCCCCGTGTTCATCTCGAGCAACCGCACCAAGACCCACATATTGAGCCGTGATGTGTGCATCAGCATTTATTTTGGTGAGCCCTGCAGGAGGTTTTATCCAAGAAGAGATCAGTCGAGGTGCACTTTGGGTAGAACAGCTATACATAAAATTAAATACTCCTATAAAACTGCATGAATTTTCTTAATTATACAAACTACATCTAATATATGCATATTTTCAAGTATCAAATCACAGTCATTCGACCAATATACTATGTTCAGTAACTTAACAAACAGAATTAAGCACTTGTTTAGCGATTGTTAGCTCGAATCTCAGATATTTTTCCATATCTCAGTATATAGAGCAGCAAAATCAGATAATAAATTCAAAATAACAAATAAAATCGAATTAAATCTTTTTTTCAGATAGATCTGCGCAAAAGTGAACATCTAAACCCTAAAAACCAGAAGAAAAAAAAAACAAAACAAAACAAAATAACAAAAAATAACAAAAAAAACAAAAAAAAAAACAGAAAAATTAAAGAAAACACACAAACCTGAGCAGCTTTGTAAGCATTCAAAGTATCTTCAGACTTCCGCAGCAGTTTTCCTTTCATCGGCATATATAAATTAAGCCAGTTCTCTCCCTTTTTTTTTTCCTTTCTCAGGTCAAAATCAAAACGCCGAAATCACCACTCCTTCATCAAGAAAAATAGTTTGATTTTTCAATCGAAATCCAGAAAATTAATTAAGAAGAATTATCTTCGATTTTTCAATCGAAATTCAGATTAATTAAGAAGAATTACAAAAAAAAAATGTATCAATCAAAATTCAGATTATTAATTAAGAAAAATTACCCAAAAAAAATAGCACAAAAAAGGATTCAACCCCATGAAAAACGAAATAATTTCACACAAATACACCCACAAAGATTCAACCCAAAAAATTAGAAAACATATCCAAATCAACAGGGACATATGTGCAAAAAATCCACGACAATCGAGCAAGTAAAGCCTAAAAATCTGAAACTAAATCGAGAAAGAGGAAAGAGTTCGAACCTGATGAATGTGACGATCTGAAAATCGTCTTCCACAATCTCAGACACGAAGAATTGGAAGCACCATCGAAAGGGATGATCGGTGGTCTTGAGCAAGTTGCTGAAGTTTTCCCTCTCTAGCTTTCTCTCTCCTTGTTTCCCCTAAAGAAATGCTCTGACCTTTCCTTCTGAGATGAAATCAGAGAGAGGAAAGTCGGTGATAATGAAGCAAGGGGTCCACTTTCAATTACAGTTGTCACACATAATGCACTTGGCTAAGAAAGGGCAATTTCGGCAATTCATTAAATATAGGGGTGTCTTTGTAATAGCACCAGAGTTCACTGTTCATAAGAACAGTATTTAGTTTTGCATGTTTTGTAAGGTCTATAGATTCTAATTTCTATTATTTTTTTGGATTTGGAATCAATATAATGGAAAAAATGGGGAAAAAGTAACTACAAATTTATAGTAGACATGAAGCTTTTCTTCCAAAATAAAAAAAAAAAAAAAAAAAGATGATATGAAGGAAAAAAATGTATACTCTTAATTGTAATACTACTCTTGTATCGTTCTATGACTCATGGGAAATATATGAGATCATGGAGAATTGAATATCTTAAATGAAAAGTAGCATTAATTGTTAATCTATTGAAATTTGATTTTGTTACATTGTTTTATGGACATATAATCATATTAAATGAGTAATAATTAATAAATTGATGATAAGTAATATATAAATATTTATACCTTAACTAACGCCCCGGGGCGGCCGTTAGCTGGATCGAAATTAAAACAGGAAAAATAAAAAACTGGGTTGATGTTATAAAATAGAGAGAAAATATGAGATTGGGAGAGAATAGAGATATCTATTATTCCATATATTAGGGGTATATATACATAGAATACAATAATTAGGGTTTGCTTAGAAAATAATAAACCCTAAATCTATAATATTTCGAAATGATATAAGGATAATGGATATCCACACAATATTTTCATAACACTCCCCTGGATGTCCATTATCAAATATTGTGTCTCATTAAAACCTTAATAGTTAAAACCCTATGGGATAAAAACCTAATTAAGGAAAAAAAGAACAACATTCTTCGTAATACAATCGGGATGTTGCCTCGTTAAAAAAGGCTTACCAGGAAAACCTAATGTGGGACAAAGTCATGGTAAAGGGAAAAAGAGTGCAGCGCGTATTTTCTCCCCATGATAAATACATAACTTGAAATTATCTAGTGCTGCAATGAATCCAATATGACTAGGTGTCTTCTTATATGTAGTATAATATCATTCCTTGCTTTTCAACCCTCCTAGTTTGAATTTGTATCTATAAGTCTTCACGTGAATATATATAGTGTCTTCACCATGTATGGATTTATAACTGTATCATTCCAAAGCTCTGTTTGAATAAAGTTACTTCAAAAGTTAAACTTATGCGGTTACGCCTTCTTCTATAGGTCGTGAATAATAGAAATTGATGATTATTATTTGATCAAACAATCCTTAATGGCAACACATGATATTATTAATGTTGCTCTTCAATCTCGTATTAATATAACACATGTGATTATATACAATGATCATGGTTCTTCTAGACCATTATAAAACAGTCTTATGCATAAGTATCCCAATGATATTCTTTAGATTATTCATAATTGACATGATAGTTCTCTTGCAAATACAAATAGTAATTTCACTAAATTTTATATGCTCAATCTTCAGGTAAGATGTTGACAAGGGGAAAACTAGGTCGTTATCTAATCTTCTCTCGGTCAAACTAAATTTATAAAAACTTAACAAACCTAAATACGAGTATAGAGGCAAGTCAAGGGTCGAACCCAAAGGAACGATAATGTTCAAGCATTTTCAATTATGCGCCTAAGCTGGGTCGAAATCGAAGGTAAGAGAGGAAACTAACAACTAACAACACTACTACAAAATTGGCCAAAGAGACCCGTCCAAACTAGCCAAAGAGACTGCCTCAGAGGCGGTGTCTAGCGCAGCGGTCTCTTTAGTAAAGAGAGTTCTTTATTAGAGGCGGTCTCTAGAATGTGAAAGTTAAGACCGCCTCTTAAACATAAGGGGTCTCAATTTTTAAGGATATTGAGACTGCATTTTTAAGAAAAGCAGTCTCTGTTTTCAGAAAACTGAGACCGCATATCTTAAATAAGCAGTCTCTTTTTTGAGAAAAATGAGACCGCTTTTTAGCTTAACAAGTCTCTTTGGTCTCATTTTAAATTAAAAAAAAAAGATTTTTTTATAATTACAATTCATTAATAATAATTTTTTTAATTTTATTAATTTTTTCCATTATTAAATAAGAAGTTTTTTTTTTTGACAGAATTATTAAATAAGAAATTAAAAAAAAAATATTCTTGCATTTCATACACCTCAAAAATTACGTACATAGTAATTACAGATTTCAATACATAAATCAAAATGAAATTTTGGAAATGACGACTATAAACTACCCAGATCTTCAATTACAGATTTCTTCTATTCAAACTTGAAACTTGAAAGATCGGTACCTACAACCACAGATATAGACATGTCAAAAAAAAAAAAGAAAAAAAAAGCAAATATTATTATCCAGAAAATAAATCATAACAATGAACAAAAACTTGAAAAAAAAATAACAAACTAAAATTCGTTTACAATAAAAAAAATTGAGAAATTGTTCAGTTTAACTAATGACTTACGAGAATCCAAAGTAAAATTCGTTTAAAATGATATTGAACACAACCAAAGCAAAAAAAAGAAATCAAAGACAAGTTACAGAACAATTCGTCATTAAAATCTCAAAGGAATTTTTTTAAAAAAAAATACCATAACTTAAACCTAAAGCGCTGAATTCGAAATTGGAAATGGAAACAGAAATAGAAAATCAAATGCGAAATTAATAAAGACAAAAATTACTAGATCTGATTTCATATGAAAGAAGTAAGCAATAATAACGAAAAAATAGTATATCTGACTATGAAAGGTGTTTTTAAACAAAAATATCATAATAAATTGGAGAAAATAATTTTTGAAACGAAAACATTAACAAGCAAACAAAAAATCTACTATCGGCTAAACTAAAAATCGGACAAATTATTGTTTTAACAATAAAAAAGGATGTTAAATAGCATTATTATAATAAATTCAGATTTTTCATTAAAAAAAACTGAAAAAAAATGAAGATCAACCCTTAATAACAAAAAATAATACAAAACTCACCTTGTAATAGATCTTGAAAATTTGAAATGATAGAGGGTAGATAACTTCTTGAGATTGAGAAAGAAGTAAAGGATGAAATTTTATGTGTGAGACTCACCCTAGAAACCAGAAAAAATGATCAAGCAAGAGGAAAACAAATTGAGATGGTGAGAGGAGGGAGAAGAGATAAAAAGAAAAGATGAAATGAAATGAGTTGAGAGTGCAAAGTGGCGGAGGACTATAGTGAGAAAATGAAAAGTATGTTCTAGGGTTTGGTACTTAATCGGCTTAATTATGGCTGCCTCAATATATGCGGGTGAATCAAATTTCTCATATTTTCAAAAACAACATCCAAGAGACCGGTTATGTTAATTGGTCGGTTTCTTGGATATTACTTGAGACCGGTTATGTTAATTGACCGGTTTCTTGGATATTACTTGAGACCGGTTATGTTAATTGACCGATTTCTTGGATATTACTTGAGACCGGTTATGTTAATTGACCGATTTCTTGGATATTACTTGAGACCTGTCATCTAAAATGACGGGTCCCTCCATATTCCTCAACTTTTTAAAAAAATCCCAAGATACCTATTTTCTTAAATGACCAGTCTCCTTGATATCTCGAGAGACCTATCATTCAAGATAATCGGTCTCTCCTCAATAAGAGACCTGTTATGCACTTAACCGGTCTCTTATTTTGGGTCTCTTTGGCTATTTTTGTAGTAGTACGAAACAAGTAACCAAGGAGATAAAACACTAGGAACGGGGATCAACAAGTAATCATGTCAATTGCAACAACTTGGGAAGAGCATGTCAATCAATGGTTGTGAAGACTAATGATAAGAGCAATCAATTGGAATTAAAGAGCTATCTCCTAATTTTTAAGCTAGGGATCAATATGAATAACAAACTAAGAGAACCACAATTAAAACCAATCGATAATTTCAATTCCTAAATCAATTGTTCGTGTCATTAGCAATTACAATGCAATCTAGCATAATTCTCAAGGCCTAATCGAATTACACACATGAAAACCTTCACTAATCACTTTAATCTTAACAATCAATCAACACAATTCCCAAATTAATCACAATTAATCAATCATACAAGTTTCACCCAATTCCTAGCCAACAACTACTCAACTATCATCATCTATTAACAATCAACTAAAGAAATCAAGAATCAACAATATAACACGAACAACTACACTACTCAAGCATCAAACATCAAAATCAATCCAAACAAACATGAAATTAAATACAAAAATAAGGTGAGATAGAGTTAAGAATGCTTATTGATAATAGAGAAGATCTTGAACACAATTGTCACACTTGAATCATCAATATCTCAATCACCATTGAAATCCTTCACTTTCTCTCTCTAAAACTACTCCTAATCTAGAGAGAGAACCTCCTAATCTAACCTAATTCTAGAGAGAGAAACTATTCTAATCTAAAGTATTTCATGTATGAAGAATAAAGAAGGTCGTACACTATATATACAAAAGGAGAAAATAAAGGAAATCGTACGTAAAACCCAGAAATTCGCGCCCGCGAAGGAGAAAACCCCCAAACCCGCGCCCTTGGCTGAAACCCATGCCCTCAGGGAGCCCGCGACCTGCCCTCGGGAATTTCCTGGTCGAAAAATGGCTTTTGAAGGGTTGCAGCAGCCCGCGCCCACGGTAGAAAGGCCCGCGCTCGCGGCCAGCCCGCGGCTGTGCTGCTGGGTGCGTGGCTGCTAGCTACGCGCAAGAACGCTCGGGGCTGCTGCGATGCACGACTTCTTGGTGCTTGCAGAGTTTGCTCAGCTCGGCTTGACTTGCGTGCTTGGCTTCCCTAACTCGGCTCTGTTAAATTCCTTGAATGAACTTGAGCTCCCTCTTTGATTATTAAATCTGCGGGAACTCGGCGTACCTACAAAACAAGACAAGGAAACGGAGAAGCGAGAGAAATAGCCGAGAAATGAATAAAATATATAGAAAACCATTAAAAGCACGCATTTCTCTAAACTAACACACAAACACGCAAATCGAGCATTATTCCTTAAAAACACGACATAAACGACTAAAAACGAGCATAGAAATATAAAGAAAACATAACCTAAAGGTGCCATAAATGGCACGGATCAAATTCCCTTTTGCTCGTCCTCGAGCAAAACAAAATCCAACCAAAGGGAAAAATGATGAAGTTATTCAAGCAAAGAAAGAAACAAGAAAACTAGAGAAGATGGGAATATACACTAACTCACTTTTGTAGGAATCACGGTCAATTTCATTACAACTGTAAGCCCACTAAAATATACTTATCTCTTTGAAAGTTTACATCAATGTTGTAAATACACCATATTATATTTTAGACGAATATTCTCACATACCACAATAATTATATAGAAATTAGTTTATGCAATATGAGATATAGAAATCACGATAATATATTGAACAAAATATACGATGAGTAATGCTATCAGTTAATTTGATAAACCATATGTCGAAGTAAGCTAATTCCACTAGCGATGCTTCTATCGTCCCACTTGAATAAAAGGCTTCAAAGAGTTGAAGAGAATAATTTTATTGTTGCTCATACCTATTGTAGGTTACTTGGGATCAAAACAAACAGTTTGTTGAAATTCTAAGAAAAGGTGGATTCTAAAATTTTCCTATTGGAATGGTTAGAACCCATGCCCTACAAGCAAGCTTTGGATAATTTCCAACTCTGGAAATGGCCTAAAGCCAAGAAATCTAGTATGGACTCCATGTCTGTAAAGATGTGCTAGTCTATGATAGTCTTATAAATAGGGTCAAACCTATTAGTTGCGTAAGCCTATTCAGATTATTCTAGTGATTGCTGATTCCGATTTCGAAGTTTAGCATTGGAGATCAAAATCACCTTCATGAAATGTTCTTTATGGAGGATATGTATATGATACAACCTAATAATTTTGAAATCCAGAAATCCTAGAAAGTTTTGCAAATTTAAGAAATACATTTAATGGATTGATGTAAGCATCAAGGAGTTAGAACATTTGTTTCGATTAGGTAATCAAACAATTTGATTTCCTCAAAGAACGAAAAGGAATCTTGTAGAGACAAGAAGTTTAGTGGGAGAAATTTGTCTTCTTATTCATGTATGTAGATGACATACAGTTCATATGAAATGACATATCAATGCTTGAATAAGTCAAGCAATGGTTAGAGAGTTGTTTTAATATGAAAGACTTAGAGATGTTGAGTACATATTGGGAATCATGATCCATGAAGTGAATCTTGAAGAATGATTGGAATGAATCAAGACACTTATGGTGATAAGGATCTTGACAAGTTCATGAAGCAATAATATGAGAGAGGATATCTTCCCATGTTTTATGGTATTAAACTCAGTAAAACTCAGTGCCTTCAAAAGCTAATAGAGTTGAGTTGTATGGATAGTGTACCTTATGCTTTTCGAAAAGGGTCCATTATATGTGCCATGATATGTACAAAGCAAGATGTTACATATGACTTGTGCATGTGTAGCAATTTTCAAGAAAATTCAGAACAAGCATACTAAAAGTTGCAAAGAGAAAATCCTTGAGTACTTGAGAAGGACTAAAGGATTATTTCTAGCTAATGGTGTTAAAAGTGAATAAGTTGTCAAAAGGTTATACGAATGCAAGTTACCAAACAGACAAGATGACTCTAGATGTTGATTTAGATGCATATTCGTGTATGTATGAAGAAGGACAGTAAGCTTGAAGTGTTCAAAGCAGAGTGCTGTCGCATAATCAAAGTCAGAATATATGCATGTAGCTACAGTAAGAGTAGTTAAAGAGGAAGTTTGGATCAAATTGTCTTATGACTAAAGGATACCTTTGCCAAAACAAAGGAATCAGGGTCACATCACAAATCTAAACAATTAGATATGTGATATCACCTCAATTATGAGATCAATGACAAGCGGGATGTCGTGATTTGCAAAGTTTTATTATGAGTGAGAAATTACTAAACCCCTTCCATAGACTAAGATATGAGAGTCATATCAAAGATTTGGATTGAAGCAAGTTCTGTAATTCAAGTTGTATATGTTTTGAGAAAACATGTTACATAAGGAATGCATCAATTTGCAGAATTATGTTTAAATAGAAATTATTATTTCTCTTATTTAATTATGGTTTTGGAAATTAAATAAAATGTCCAAAATAATTATGAATTGATAGGCTCATCCGGTTGATGAACTGGTGAATGAAACCCCACATGTGAACAAAATTCATATATTATTAAAGTTCCTAGTTCGAAATCATTAAAGTGGACATAAATGATTTCAATAAATGGACTAACATGTAAGATTGATTGGATAAAGTAGTTTTATGGGCTATAGGGGCATAGTGATGCTCGGCCAATCACTTAGATATACATGAATGATGCATGATCGAACTTATAACCTCCTTGAAGCTCAAGTGTAGAGCTTTTGGATATATTAGTGGATTCCTTTAACATGAGTGGAACATTGATTTCATTCAATGGATGTTATGACTGTGGTACACTCAAACGTCTGCCCGTAAGTGGAGATTATAAAGTGTGTTTCCCAGTTATTTCAAAAGTTGAGTGGGAGCTTTGGTTGCCACAAGATTGGATAGAGTCTACCTATTAAATTAGGAAATGTTTCATGGCCGCTTGAAGAGGGAGAATTCAAAAAATACGTGGCCGCGTTCAAATGCATTCCTCAGTAATCATTTGGTTTTGTAATTCTCACTCAATTTTCAAGAAACGATTTGTAGATTAATAAGATCTTGACATGTGATGCAATCATATTATCAAATCGACACATATTAACTTAAGGAATTTTAATATTGCACACTTGTCTCGAACAAGTGAAAGATTGAAGGATTTATGTCTTCGTCGTGTGCAATTACTAGATATATCAATGGATCAAATTATGGAGACAATTAAGGTCGGACATTAGGGTCGTCGTTTTATCATTGCTAGAGGTACTAACAATTTTGGGCTAGTAAAATATCCTAAAGCCCAATTGGACGATTCCTATTAGGTCACACAAAGGGTCTAGATAGGGCACGAAAGGACATGGCCTATGATGGGCCTCATCCTCTATTATGGCCGGCCATGAGGAGTAAGTTGAAGGGTTTTTGGCTTCCTAACCCTAGTCTAGTTATACTGTGATTATAAATAGACTAGGTGCCTAAGGTTTGCAGTAAGTAAGAATTCAGTGATCAGTTTGATCAAACCCGAATTAGCAAACACGAAACCAACCCCTCTCATACTCCTCTCTCGCACGACACTTTCTCTCCTCCTCGGCGCCAGTGTGGTGGTTCGTGGTGGTGGTGGATCGTGGTGGTTGGCTTAGTCCATTAAAGGTGGTGATCGCGATTTTCCTCAAC